CAGCTAATGGATCGAGCTTTATTGTTAGATTTTGGCAATAGGTTTTAAAAATAATAAATTTCCAGAATACACGTGCTGAACACCAGTTCGGCTCGTGTCCATTGAGATTTGACGCAGGTCCCGTGAGTCAGCGGGTTGCACGGCCGCCGACTTTTGCCCTTAACATATGCATACCCTAACGTGACTTGCAGAAGCCCGGCGGGCCTTTCTAATTGGTCCCGAAGACAAGTCAATACAATTACAACGTAATACCGGGTAATAATCTTGAAACATACATACACTGAAACTGCAAAAAGCAAATTTCCAAATAACACCGCGCCAGGAGCAATCGCTTAGAAGAGTGCGAAGTATCTTCAAAGACTATCCGTTGCTGTATCAAAAAGCTACGTGTTTCCTAATAAAACTACCCGCAAGGTAGACTGAAGAAAAAAAAATAGTGCACGCCGAAATAATAACTGAAAAAAAAAAAAAACAACGAACCGCTCTCGAGGCGCGGTGTGTGTGTAAGCTACAAGAGTGTGGGTAGCTCGCTAAACGCAATATAAAGTGTGGTTGTGGTAGCGTGTATACACATAGATAGGTATAGATAGGCACCTCGCCCCGCGCGGTCATTAGTGGCATGGACCCCGCGCGCCCGGCGAGGAGAAAGTATGATTTTACTCCTATAAAGCCGTATTTCTACTCCATACAGGAATTCGAATACGCGCGCCCAAGTTCCCGGGTTCCGTCGAAGGACATGTGCCGCTTGTAGGTACACAGTTTGCGAGTTTAAACAGTCTCAATACGGTGGGCGTACTAATTCTCTCCGGCGTCTCGCGAAGTTTGGGTGCCTCGAGCGGTGCGTTTCAACACTCAATGGGAAATCTATGTAAACGTCTGACGTCTGAGATGTTATAATTTCATTTGAAAAGCCGTCAACTGCTTGAAGGCTGTGAAATGATTTTGTTATTCGCAACAGTCACATGTCTATTTGTATGGATTCGAAGACCTGAGAGTTGTGGTAGTATGTTTGTTGAATTGCTCACAACTATTGGTTGTGGCACTTTTGTAGTTAAAAACCTTTGTTATATTACAATTGTGATCATTTTTGTTTGAAAGGACATGGGCGACCAATGTTACGTCGCCCCAGCTGAGTAATTAAGGACCACCACGTGGCCGAGGGGAATAACCGACAACACAAAAACTACATCCGTGCCGCACGGACGAAATGATTTTAGTTATTTGTCTTATTACGTGGCACTGAAACATTTTTTCTTTTTTTAATCCCTCGGCCACGATTACAACAGCTTGTTTGACATCGATAGTAAAGGCACATAAAAATCTATATCTTGTAGACACTCACTATGGCGGAAGTCGCAAAAACGGACTAACTTGAAATAAGGTTAAAATAAGAAAACGGGTTTGGTCACTTTTTGCTTTACGATTTTTAAATGTAACATCAGCCGAAGTTTTATCTCTTTCTTTTATTATAATTTTAATTAATTCAATGTGTGATATAATTATAATCATAAATTTTAGAAGGTCCGAGTTACTTTGTCCGATAATTATCATTATTTCCTTCGCAAAAACTGATAACATCAAAGCTAACGTAGCATTGTATCACTCTTATTTGAAAGTAGCGTCTCTCTATTTTCTTTAAGTCTATAACAATGCTTCGGAAATTTTCTATGTCATGTGATAGAGTAGTGTATAGAGTAGAGTTGCATAGGTATCGGTTGGAAACAAAGGAATCCAGGAGAGGGCGTAAAGCGCGGGAGTTCACGCGGCGGCGTCGGGGGTCGTTGCCATATCGATTTTCGATTTGCTCCCGCAGAAGCACAAGTGGGTCAAGTGCTGGCCAACAAGATCACCATACAGCGCTCTTGTTGTGCAGGGATGCCAGAACGTTCCCGACGAGTGTTTGCGTGGGCATACGCACGCTAACGTCATTGCCGCATTAATTTATGCTTTAGCACACCCAAAAAAGGCACATACATTAAAAGTTACTGATCCCGCTGTTATTTAGGCACGGGTGAGTATTTTAAGCAGTAAATAGTATTTAGTGTAGCTTTAGTTATTCGAAAAATTAAATTACAAAAAAACAAAAACGTCATCGAACGGAAAGATTTTCGAAAAAGAGATTTTGAATTTGGTAGATTTTCGCAAAGTAAACAGGTTTGACGCGAGCGTATGGAGTGTGAGCTTTATCAGACTTTGACATAGTTTTCTGATACGTTCAATAAAAATTTGCAAAATAAGTTTTCTGATACCGTCACGTAAAATTTGTGTTTGATTAAAAACAGATTTCAGCAGCAGATTTTTTTGTCACACTGCTATGACGGGACAATACTACTTTCAGTCTATACAAATAACCTGTCGTGCGAGGTTTTATTCTTATTAGAACATGAAAGTTCTTTACTGGGGCTTGGATTTTTTGGGAAAAGTCATGTGCTCATCTAACTTTTGACTGCAGACAATATAGGTACACACCGGACAGTTTGTGAATCAGATATAGTGTAAGTACCGCCTCATCTTGGTGCTTTTGTTACTCAAAGTTTGTGTCATACGTGCTACGTGCTTACCTAATTTTAGTACACAGAAATTCCTGTATTATATCACTCATTAGAATGTCTTAGTGTGTATGTAGTTTGTACCAAATTGTTCAAAAGATAAAAAACGATTTCATTACATTTAAATGAAAAATGCTACGTACGAAGATGGCGATGGTTTCGCATAAAACTTTAAAAATTAGAATCACGTGTCTTGCAAAATAGAAGTTATTGATACTGAAATGAAGTATTTGGAGTTTTCATTAGGGTGCGATCGAAGCAGTTAGAGCCCTTTTATTATCTGCTCGCCTCTAAATTGCCGAAAAGAAACGCGCCCCCCCCTCCGGAAAAATGGGGAACGGAGGACAAAAACCGTGTACCCAACTAAGCTACCGATGGCGCACCGTTATTTAAAAATCGAAGACGATAAGAAACGAAGTGTTTTTATTTATTTTTTTCTCTACTTTTCCTTGGAATGAATTTATGTCCCCTCTAAAATGTGCGTTGCCACTGAGAGTTTGGCCTTCGAGGCCCGATAAGATGTTTTTATTTCGGTGCCCGAAACAGTTAAAATCGTTTCGGACTCTGTAATGTGAAATTCGATTTTCGGTAATGGTCAACTGATAAGCAAATGACCTCATTATTGACTTAAGCTTAGTTTGTTTCGTTACTTTTGATTGAACGTTAAGTTAGGCGTGCTTTGATGGCGTGCAACTTTATGTTTCTTGAAAATTTCCAAACGAAATGTGCATAAATTTTGTATGTAACGAAACGTATTTTAAGCAAATATTTTTTTTTAAAAGGTGATTAAACTCTGTTCGTTTTATTTGGGGATTTCGAATGTTGGGCGGAAGGAGACAATCGGATAGATTTCGTCAAGTTATACATTAGAGCTGCGACCGGGGGTGAATCCGGGCAAATACAGAGATACTCCCCCGCGGCGCTGATAAAGAACTGGGGGTATTAAACGATTACAAATGCTTCGCGGTTCAATAAACAGCCCACTGTGCGGGCTGCCGTTTTAGACGAATTAGATTCTTGCATACCGAGGAAAAAGCTTGGTAATTCTTGACATTAGTAGATCAAAAACACTATTTTTCTATCAAAATTATTAAATTGATATACTCTAGTTATTAAACAAATATTCATAATTTACGCAACATATGTGCATAATTATATTTTCCGCATGAATTCCATCTCTGTATAGTTTTAAATACAATGGTTTTTTTATTTTTAAAATTAATTGAAAAATAATATTTAACAGATTTTATGAAATTTAACTAAATGTTTTTGAAGTGCCCAACGTTTCAAATATCCGACATACGTAGTAATATCTTAAAGTATCTTGATGTCCCAAGCTATCGTTAACACAACAGATCTACTTTATTTGAATACAGAATTGTTCTGTTCCATGACCTAAGCCCATTCGGAAGCTGTTGTGTTCAAAATATCATGAATTTAAAACAAAATTGTTACCAAAAAGGTACTTGTTAAATTTTATGTGTAAGCGTCTGCGAATGTAAGGTGAGCCACCGATAACGAGCACCTTCACCCCTACATAAATACGTACGCAGCTCCACATCCGATTGAGAGGCCGGCGACATTTGCGTGCGCTCACTTATTCGTATCTACCCTCCGAGTGTACGTTTATTTCCGCGCGACGTTCCACGCTTTGTGCCGTTCAGATCGAACCGGCCGCCACTCACAAGTACCGGGACTTCCCCGGCAGTGGTTTATCTCGATCCACGCTTAAGATTCCTTAATCCGTGAATTGTGATAAATAAAACAAATGTATCGTGAACCGCGGCGGGCGGGGGAGGAGGAATCGAAGCGGTGAATTATTCGCTGTGAGATTTTTAAGAGTCAACTCTCGGGAAGTTAAATGAGTTTGTTCGCGGGCGACTCGAAAGGATTTCGTTTGGTAAACGGCTCAGATGTAGGGTGCTCTATATATTTTTGTTCCTTCATGTTAGCATAGAAAAGGAACACACAAAGAGAAAAGAACAATAGTAGTCAATATTTACAAAGAATAGAACATGATCAGTTCTAGACAACATGCACACATTATTCACATTATAAAAAGATATTGTATTGGTTTTAGAATACACAACCTATCGCTAAATAGTGACCGAGACTAATTTGAAAGTATTTTATAAATATGTGAAATACATGCCGATATATTTCTAGAGTTTTGTGAGAAGCATACCTTTTAGCGGGTTATCGTTCGTTTGCATAAAAATTAATACACTTAAGTGTGTCGTAGGTGGTATCGCGGCGCCCCCGTGGCCTTAGACGATTTTTAAACTTCCGTGTTGCCATAGATAAGCAAATACGGGGACGCGCGTGATGGATATTAAGGGCGCACCTTACATCATTTCGGTTATTACGAGCGGGGTGGTTTCGTAAGACGCTCTCCTTATATCTAGACATAACGTCCCCCCTCCTTAATATGTTAAAATCAAATTAGTTTCAAAGCGGAGTGATTCCCTCAATCGATCGCACTCCCGATATTGCGAGCGCGCCGCGCGCCCCGCGTTTCGCTCCGCTGAGTGCGTTTTAAGGTAAGGTATTCTAATCTTTATATGTAAACGGTGCCTAGGTTAGTCATCGCATTATTTATGAACCACTTGATAAACATTTATTTATATATCATTTTATTACGATTCGGTGGCGGATCACGTAACTGCGTGAATATTTCTCACGGGTCATCTAGTGTTACATTATTTTGATTCTATATATTTTGCCTCCATTAATAAGCAGTAGGCTTGAGCCGCTCAGTGTCTGGGTGTAAGCTTTTAATTCAGTATACTTGAGCTACCTGAGTTAGAAACTCGGTGCCAACACCAATGAAATTATCTATATTTTAAGTGCTGAATGTCACGTGTTCAGCGATGAAGAAAACATTGCGAGAAAACCTGCACATTTTCGAAATTTAAGTTAAATGAAATTTAATTTTAAAATTATAACAAAAAAAGTTCCGAATATATGTGAACTCTGTCAATCCGCACTGGGGTCGCGTGGTGGAGTATCCCTTTATATCTTTGTATAGAGGAGCCCTAGGCCGACCTGTGGGACTTGTAGAGGCTGTTACTTAACTTTTTTAGGCTTGTACCGAGTATATAACAATTATTTGTTTTTTCTTACAGCACTTGTTCACATAATGTTCTCGTAGTGATGTTTCGCCGTCGAGATAACGTAACGGTAGAAGCGAGTAGTATTAGTTGGGAAACGTCAATTTCCTGTGAAATTCTTGGGAGGGTTTATCGCGCCGGGATCGGGTACGTTGGCTGTGAGCCGTGGCTTTCATTAGCACGGAGTCTTAGCAAATTAACACCCTCGTGACGAGTCCAACGAGCCCTTCTTGACGTGTCTTAACGGTGCACTAAGTTTGGACATAACGACCTTATGGTGAAAAGGGTACGGTTGATAATGGCTTCGTTTGCGACGCGTTGTTGCGCGTGTGCGTTAAATTATATATCTGATTGCGTTGTTTAATACGAGTTTGTGGTGAACGTTTACTGTTTCCCATATTGCCTGTCTATGGACGAATAGAATGTCTTTCTCTTGATGATCTTGCTGCTATTGGTACGCATTTAATATCATTCTATTATTGACAAAAAACATTACTTATACTGTAAGATTGGTAATTGTTTTACTAAAACAAATTAAACCAGAAAAAGCGCCTGGATCAACAAATACATTTTTCATATCCCAAATACTTGACCAGGATGTTCTAGCTTAGTATATAAAATGTTTACAATAAACCATAAAATTCGCTTTACTAACATATAAAAATCATTTAAAATGGTGTCGCTACTCCTATTTTTTAAAACAATCCAGTAATTCTTGATCATCGGTCGAAAAATCTGTCAACACAAAAAAAGTAAAATTAGTTTTTAAAATTCGAGTAAATTAAAGAAATCATTATTTACACATTACCTAAATATAAATTCAAATGGTTTCATTATAGATTTCAAATTGAAACAAAAAGATTTAAAAATTTTTAGCATTCTGGCTCCAAATTCTAGAAGTTTATACTAACCACCATTAAATCCGAAATAACAGCTTCATCTTACCTTACTTGACATTTATGAAAGCTCGCATACTCTATGTAACGTTTCACGGCTACTATAAACCAATTTGTTTCATTGGAGTTTCACCTAAGGAAAACACGCGTCTTCGGCGCCAACGATTCACCCGCGAAACGAGGGGCCACAGAGATGTAGTTGTTTATGCAGCGGGGCCGCAGACCACGGCGGCTAAACGGCGCGCTGACGGTGACTAATGACGGATGCACTAATAGTTGTGTCGCATTCGCCACCGCCGCCCGGCCGTATATCATGCGAGGGAAATGGGGAGGAAACCTCACCATCACTCTCCGTACGAGATAAGGAGCGCCGCAAGACGCCGTACCGACTTATTGTCTAATCAGCGTGCTGGGCTATCTGCGGACGCTTTGTAAACCGCCCGGCGGGTAGTTTTTTTTTTTTACTTTTAAATCGCTATATATTAATCGCTTTAATCGTATGAGACGAGTTTCGTTTTCAATAAATCGATTTTTATTATCAATTATGTGACAAAACTGACTGACTTTAAACTTATCATAAACCCAGTGAAGAAGTACTGGGTTGATATTAAATTCCAATAGGTGTATATTTTAATTTGCTTTATGATTAGCTGATTATCTGAGTGAATATTGATTGGGTAGTGTCTCACGCCATAAGTTGCTCAATATTTTTCGTACTATTCTATACAATCAAAATAAACAGATTTTGAAGTAATAACGAAATTGATTAAAAATTATACAAAATTCATTAAAAAAATATTAAAGACGGTTTTTAAACACAGCTAAATATCACCCTCGTCGTACAAACTTAGGTACTATACATAAACAAAAAACAAAAAATTAACGCCTGCTTAAACATATTTGAAAGCTAATACACTATTACAATAACCACACATTCATAGTTAAATAATAGTAGAAAATTTTCCATACATATCGACATTATTAGATCAAGACGCTTTTGCAAGGTGCTACCGATCCTGGCATCATTAAGATCGCGCGGTAAACGCTGAGCGCGGGCGGCCCCCTCCGCTACGCCGTAACCGCTACGGCTTAAGATTAATACATCGTAGAGGCCGTGTTAGTGGTGCGACAATTTGTCTCTATAAATGTTTACTCAGCGAGTGGTAGCGACCGCGCCGGGCGATTAGCCCCGCCGAATTTATTGTTTAATCTCAAAGGCGTTATTAATAACGTGCGAAATGATTTAACAGATTCCGCGGCACGGCTTTAAGACGCTTGTGATTTATACTCTACGCCCTAATATGCTCCTGCGGTTTTGATGTGTGAATATTTAACCACGCAATATTACTGCCTCAAAATGTACCCAAACGTTGTTCCGCGAATGTATGATTGTAAAACTAAAAATACGTTATCGTTGTCCCTCATAACTGATTTGGATGAAATATGAGCGTTTAAATAGGGTTGGCCCACTGGATTAGAATTATGTGTAATTTTTATTTTACCCAAAAAGGTATTATGGGTGTTATGGGTGATCCACAAAGGCAATTTATTTGTTAAAAATATATCCGTAAAAAAAGAGATGAATAAATTGATAAGTTTTCGGGTGAAATACATGGGATAATTTTATTTTGATTTTTAAAAAACAAACTCAATATTTCTATACTGTCTGAGAATTTTGATTAAATTGGTTAGATTTATTTAAAAATTACTTATGAAATTATTTATAAAAACAAGAGCTGTGACAGCTCGGGGTACGGGCGCTCGCTATTAATTAATTATACTCCGGCAACCTGAGTTCGAAGTGCCAGCACCAATGAAATTGTTAATTTCAAGTGCTGGCTTATCACGTGCTGAAATCTGAAGATTTCAGAAAATATGAATATTTTAAAAGTCATAACAAAAATAAAAGAATATTTCGAAGACTACAATTCTCAGTGGTCGCGTGGTGGACTATCCCCGAAAACCCTCTATACAGAGGAGGCTTATGCCCAGCAGTGAGACATGTATTATAGATTGTTATAGTATAGTATAGTAACAGCCTATACGTGTCCCACTGCTGGGCAAAGGCCTTCTCTATACAGAGGGTATCAGGGCATAGTCCACCACGCGGACAACTGCGGGTTGGCGGACTTCACATGTCTTCGAAATATATATATTTTTTGTTATTATTTCGAAAATATGCAGGTTTCCTCACGATGTTTTCCTTCACCGCGGAGCACATGATAAGATTGTTACTTTGATTATTTTTACTTTGATTATCGATTGCTATTTTACTTTAATTTTTGATAAAACTGCTAATTTGAAAAGTTGGCATCAATTTTCATGCTTACTATGAACATTACATATATCTAAAAATGTCAGATGCTACAATGTACATAGAGTTCTCAACTATCGATATATGTTTATGGGAGCTTTAGAGAGTTTCTTAATTACGGGCGAGAGGACTCGTATCCGGAAACCGGACATCACGATACGTCCAAAATCGCACCCTCGTCTTAGACAAGCTTCTGTGTGTCGACTTTGTTACTCTACATAGAGCCCATTTCAAACAATTCAGTTCAACGAAATAGCGTCCTAAACTCGGAGCTTTAAGATTTAAATTACTTTGCGTTACAAACTTGTTTGGAGCGATTCTATTTCGGGTGTTTCCGAATATGTGTCCTGGTTATATGAATGAGGACTTCAAGTTCAATGGCATATTGTTCAAAACGCTTTGTTACGCCGGACAATATTTGCGACCGTGTTCTCTATGGGGGTTTTATGTGTGTAAGATGATGCTTGTTTGGCGATCTCGCTGATATGATAAATCAGTTTAGAAGTACTAACAGTTCACTTGAGAGCCGTGGGAGGGTTGTAAATCTCAACTGTTTGGTCGTTATTAAGTACCTCTTTTAGATGTTTTCAATACAGGGTTATTAAACATTTTTCTTTAGAAATTTTGTTTATATATTTCTTGAAAAGTTATAGAATCGCTTATTGTTTAATAAAAATATAAGATTTGGATAAAATTTTATAATTTTTTTAGGATGTTTGATTACGATGTTACAAAATAAACTTTGAGTTCCATTTATAATACAAAACATAAACGCAGGCATGCGTACACAAACAAAAACACGCACGCACATATCATTATCGACTTTTTTTGCTTAAAACCTACTTAACATGTTGCTATGATATGTAGTAGAATTGTGAAGAGCTTCTGTAACACAATGAGACCTAGCAAGGAATTCAGAGTTCGACAATAGTGTACCCTCTTTCAAGTTTATATCAACGCTGTTCCCACATCTACATTTTTTAATGTCCGAAGGGTTCCTTTGAAAAATCAACTTGATTTATTTTTCGTCAGTTCAAAAACGACCGCTCCATCGTCAGCCTCTCCGCGAGGGTTCATTAAGGCATTGGATGCTAGGAACTGTGGCCACAATGGTGTTTGCCGCCCACGCGGTACCTTTCTCATGGCGATCCCGTAATAGGATTACGCAGGGCAACGCAGGTACTGTCTCTAATTGCTGTGAAAATCGCGCCGACAATGAAGAGGACAAAGAGCGGCGCCCAGTGGTCGCCCTCGGCGAAAGTGATTTATCGATTGGTGGCCCGTACTCTATGCCGGCTCGCTCGGATTACGTTTTGTTTGTTTGTTTTTATTCGTCGGACGCGTTGAGGCGGCTTCCGTTGCGTTCGGAAAGGTTGGAAGTGATAAAGCTCAGTTATGAATCGGAATATGGGTAAGCGTTCGGAAATCATAAATTAATTATCGGATTTTGAATGTTTTCCGGTTTTTACTGCGATGTTGTCGATAATTCATCTCCAAAATATCTGTCTGTGTGTCAATGTTGTTATTAATAAAAATTATTGAAGAGGTAATTTATTGCATTGCTAATATTAACACCAATGTGAAAAATATTTAAAATCCTTTAATGTTCTTCAAGAAGTCTATTGCATTTTCTTATAATCTTTATACACAGTTTTTTATTTAATTTCTTAACTGCAAAAATGTATAGGTTTAAAATTTTAGTAAATTTACACAAAAAGTTACGGCAGGCAACGCTCCCACGAAAAATATGCTATTTTTCAATCAAATTTTTTTGGAGTACTCCATTCTATTTATGTCGAATTACATTTATTGTTCTAGTAGAGCCAACAAAAGCTACGCTACTATTGAGATCGATATAAGGTTTTACCAAATTTAGATTAACCGGGACAGCACTATATTTTTAAATGTATGCAAATTAGAAAGAAAATATTATGAACAATGGACTGTCGAAGTATCAGAAAGTACGTGAGGCGACACCTCAGGATAACCTTTGGAAGGCGGGGCAATTCGGAGCTATCGATAGAGGGGCACGGCACGCCAGTTGTCGCCTGCATTGATTTATGCCACAGGGATGAGGAGGAGGAGAAAGTGTTGCCAGCGACCGGCGTAAATCATAATGTATTGACAGCCGGTGAATGCCATCATTATATGAGGAAATATTGTAATTTAGTGTTTGCCAGTGGGAAGGAGCGCTTTCCGTGGCGGATGAGGCTTTTATGAGATGACTTCGCGGCGCAATTGCCACGGCTTTGGCATCGGGGGTCGTCGGTTCGATTCCCACACGGGATAACTATTTGTGTTACCCATGGATAATTGTTTCGGATCAGGGCGTTTCTACATGTGAAATTTATGTATGTATCATCCATACAATACAGGAAAATGTTATCCTACAGTAAAGACAATGTTTTTTAAAAGCTTTTATGATGTGTGGCGTTTGATAAGGCTCAACAAGAGTATGTAATACATCTTATATTTATATTGGATCATATAGTTTATTAATGATTTCTTAATTCGAGAAATTTTAATTATTTATGTAAGTACATGAATTAAACTGCGGAATTAGGCATGTTCCAGTGTGTTTTATTAGCAAATGAAACCAATGACACTCACAATGATTTATTTATATAGATTAGAAATAAAGTTGAGCTACTCTCGAAAGATTAAAATAAGATCAATATAGTGCTGGATATATTCCTTGTCTATGTTCCGTGTACAAATTGTTTTCGGTTTTTGTACTAAATAGTAATAATAACAAGAACAATGGGAATAATAAGACTACATTCATTAATGTAATGGTGGTGAAATCGGTTATTATAAGACTAGATATTTCAAAATTATTTTTTTTAATCTGTAGGAAGATACAATTTCGAAAATTGCCGCTAGCCTCTAACAGCACATAATTGGCGCGAGACATCCCATGATTGGAGACAAGAAGGTCCCGCCCCGGGACTGTAGCCTCAACCTCAAATTTACGGTCATTTTTCACATAAATCAAAGAGATCCCGCCGAAAGATTTATTGCTATCTGTGGTCACGTTAGTTGTGCAAAGACAAAGATCAAACTACCTGAGTTACTACACTGGGCGATTTTTTTACGTCCAAGACACGCGTTAAATTCACTTTCGAGGCAATATTGCAGCAAATTGAAAGTGTAATAAAACGTTTTTGTTATTCGAAACGTAATTATTTGTCACGCTACGTAAGATTCAGTTCATTTAAATGAAATGAAAGTCTACTCGCAGTGCGAGTTAGAACCGATTTTTGTTCGACGGGTCTTTAACCAAATCGTCTCATTTTATGTAATTTCAACACATTGCGCCGTTGCCAGCTCAAATTGATCGCCGATATTTAATAAGGATCGTCCATAAACAAAAGCATGCAATGACAGAATTCCCAAGCCATCATCATTACTCGTAATGGCTTCGTATTATAGTGAATATTTCGGTTGTTTAGTTACAGGCCGCGTCACAAACGGTGGCTCACGCGATTTCCCTCCTATTATTTTACGGGCTAAATACTTTATTTCTGTGCGTAGGGTCAATTTTCCAAAGTTACAGCAAGGTTCCTATTATACTGATGACGGAGTGAGTGCCCGCCTGACATTTTATGTGTCGGTAACCAGATATTACCGCTGTACCAGTTCCGTCGATGGTATAATTGGCATACCGAAAGCAAAACAAAGTTAATTCATTCGATAGCAGGAAAAATTTGAAGGGATAATGTAGGTAGGAAAATTTTAGTTTTTTTAAATACGTATTTCGTATATTATATTTGTAAAGCCGTAAAATAAATTATTTATTTTCCTATTACATCCGTTTCAAACTTTCTAGTTTTGCTGATGCTGTTATTCCGTAGTATATTGTAAGAGTGAATTATTTCAATAAGGTGGTTTTAAATTCATAACTTAGTTTAATTTCAAAACTATTTTACTAGTTCTTTTTCTCATTTTTGTAGGCCATTATTACTCCGCGATGATACTGGACACTCATTCTGCAGTAGCATTAGTTATGACTGGTGAAAACAAAGCTATTTTGATTTAAAAGTATAATTTTAAAGACTTCTTTTATTATAATTTCAAGTAGAGAGTGTTAACACGAATTTATGTTGAATAAAACATCAAATCAACATATTGGTGACCTCTCATCTAAGGTGAACTTCTGTCAGGGCCGAGCGACATTAGAGACAACCGAAGTAAATAAATGGCACTAATGTGAGTTTCTTTGTATAGATATATTGTGTACAAACCTTAGTTTTTGAAACAATTATGTCTTAAACTTATTTTTGCGGCTCGTGGTAAGAGATGTCGGTTCTTTTCTCGCTAAAATTTTCAGTTTAACTATTAAGCGAGGAAATGCGTAACGTTTTTGGCTCCACCCGCGTGGGTTCTTAGTGGTTATAATGTGGTTATTATATTATAATAAAATAGGAAAAAAGGCGCCGGAGTACGAGTCGAACTCGCACGAAGGTTTCCGTACCATTATTTATAAAAAAACATGTCTGTTGTATGGGTGCCTCACTTAAATATTTTTTATTCTGATTTAGTATGTGTTGTTATAGTGTATATATACACTATTTGGGGAGGCATACCTAAAACGAACCTGAATTGTGTAGAAGTTACACAACAAACAATTTTAAAGATTTGTACTTTCAAACCATATCTGTATCCTACAAATCTTTTATAAAATCACTGCGAGGTACTCTCCGTTAGGCAACTATTTATATTATCTGTTGTTTTAAAGAAGCACCTGGAAGCTCCAACCGACCACATGAGATTGAGTAAAAGGATTATAAAAAAGATATTATATATCATCAGAACCGGCAAAATCGGACATTTTTTGCGCAACGTTTTTACAAATTCATTGGTACTTATCTTTATAATAAATGTAGTAAATATATAACAATTAATACTTTGAACAAATATGACTGTAAACAAACATTAACTAAATATCTATATACACTTAATTATGAAGAAACTGAAGCTCTCATTACTACACATTAAACACACACACACACACACACACACACACACACACACACACACACACACACACACACACACACACACACACACACACACACACACACACACACACACACACAACACACACACACACACACACACACACACAAATTTCTTTTATTAATATGTTTCCTTTTATCACGTACTTTCTGATGCTACCGTCTAATACAGTGCATCTTTTATTGAAATGGGGAATGGCGCCGAAAGCAGGTTCTCAAAACCTAGTTCGGCGACGGATGCTATTAATCTATTGTAGTCATTTGTAACATTATTATGTATTAGCACTAAGGTCAAAATTGTTTAACTAAAAGGAAATAAACTTATTTTATATGATATCATAATATTTATTTCATATATGCAATATATATCTATGTTTATTTTTTATATATAAACCCAACCAGACGAGAAAACAAAGGAAATAAACTTATTATTATTATTATTATTATATATGTGTTGTGAAAATTTCAACTGTCTATCAGGGATCATGTAATACAGTCTGTCGACAGACGGACGGACAGACAGGCAGACAGCGGAGTCTTAGTAATATATATAAAGTCGTTTTACATTTGGGGATGTAACCGTAAAAAGTAACAATTGTGCAGAACACATTTCAAGTATTTAGGGCAGAAGTAGGACATTTATAAATGAGATCGTCTATAGTTATAAAAAAAAATTGATAATATCAAGTAAATAAATATCTTCATTGTTCCAACGCATACGAATCGAATGTGCTTAAAAAAACACGAGCGAATCCTGTCATATGTTTTCCGAAATGAATCACGCGCAAAAAGTTAATAATACACTTTCAACATTTCGCAACGCTATTCGCAATTTTAACAGCAACAACGAACTTTATAAAACGAGAGTGCGTATCACACGTCAGTCAAGCGCGCCCGAACAAATTGAGACGGTGTAAAAATAATACGGTATTGTATTAAAGATGAATCGGAATGATCGATCGAGGCAGGGCGTTCATTTTAATTTCGATTCTTCGAGATAGGGCCCCGGGGCGTGGCCGGTCGGACAATTTATTTTATGTCCCTAGATGCCTACCTTTAGTGTTCACGCAAATAGTTTTTGTGTCAAGATTAAACGGGAGATAACGACAGCTATCACGTACGAACGAAGCCGTAGATGTCGTTTTTCACGAGGGAAATCGTTCAGAAGCTTCAATTAAAAATCGAACTTTTGTTTATTTAACTCTGTTCTTACAAAGTTAAGTTATTCTTCTTACAAAGTCACAATGATTCACAAAACGTTGCTTACCACTACAATTTCTTTCTTTCATTTATACTTTTTTATAGTGAATAAAATATATATGCTTACGCGATTTATTTACTTTTACTTTTCAATCCTTAATTAAATCGAATTATTGGTTATTAATGCTTAAAATAATGAAAATATGACAAAATAAAAATTATGCGTTCATCTATTTTCTATTATTGAATGTGGTTGAATTACAACAAAAGGATTTTAGTGTTGATGATTGAGTACTAAATACACTCAAAGATTTAAGAGTTAATATCGTCGCGACCTTTTCATTCTCGGATACAGACGAGCAAAAATATTCATCAGACAAAGGATATGCGTTTTTAGGGATACATCGCTTTTTGAAATCGGTCGGAACTCCGTGAATCCAATATGTAAGTTTGGTGCGGGCACAAAGCTGTACCAGGGCTGCATAGAGGCGTGCGGCGCTCGATAGCGCTGACAGTGACGGATTGCCTCGGTAGCGGTTCACGGCCGTGCACCAGCCGCGAGACACTTCCGAGCGGGGAATGCGAGAGCTGCGATTTTAACGCCGCTGGCGAAATACGGCCTGATATGCGATCGGTTACTATGCGGCGAATACCGAAGAGAGCGTTTGAAACGTGAAGTCTACCGACTATCTTATCACCCTCTGTACAAAGGAGACTCAGTAGTATGCGAATATACTGCAAAGCAAAGGTTTGCTTATTTAAAATAATATCATTTTTACTACGTTAGGTTTTCTCTTGTAACAGCGATATGTGATACTCATTTGTTAATTTTGTCCGTTTCATATCTTCTTTTATCCCAATGCAAGCTTTTCGGTCTTTATTGCCTGTGAAGTTGATTTATGCCAGTAAATCTAGCTAATTCGTGTCTAATGTGTATAATGTATATTTAATAGTATTTTATAAGTATAATTTGTAAGTATAAATTATAAATACTATAAAGCGTCAACTTTTATCAAAGGAGATTGGTGCCTACAACTATAACCTCCAATAATTCCTAAACTCGCGTTAAACGTGGATTTTGGAACGATAAATAACAAATGTTCTTAAAATGTTGGAATCCGTAATGAGGTTAGTCTCAATTTGTAAGAGATAAAATGTATAGTGGACAGGAGTCGTGTTAAAGGCGAATTCGGTGTTCAGACATCGACCCCCGTGGCGCTCGGCAGGGGGCCCGCTTCTGTGCAACGCGTGGTTATTGTTGTTAAATAAGAAAATATTATCTGTGGCACGCTTTAAGGACTACAGTCGAACGCAAATATGATGACACGATGATATTTACTAGCCAACTCAACTGTAATATACAGCCGCATCGATTCAAATACGACTCGAATATCTTATTTCATACCTGTGTAATAATTAAGTGATCTTGCGAATTGCAATAACACGAACTGACTTTGTACACAGTGAATTGTTTAAAATACCGTTGTATTTGCTATTCTCTGACGTTTAAAATGCTTTTTTGTATTGAAAAAAAAAAGCGAACAGGGATTGACAACAATTTCGTAATTTCATGGGTGATGAATGTAGAGCGTGATGTATTGGCGCCGGGGCACCAGGTGAGGTTACGTTCCCACCGGCGGTCGACGGATGATGATGGATCATGTGTTCGAGCTTTGTTCTCCACTCCGCCCTTTGTGCCGACGACAAATTTGGGGTCACTCCGTCTCCCCGCGATATTATGTCCGATTGTGCGAAAAAACGCACGGAGCCTAAAAGTGGCCTGTAGGTACTCGCTAGATTGTTTCCGTGGAAAAAAAAAAACTGTTCCCCGCGCTTGCGGTGTACGTGGGAGATGATGGTTCGTGTTCTGAAACGTTCTCGCTCGTAATTTGTGCTCACAGCGCATGACAGACACCCGTTCCGCTGTACGGAACGCCGCCAGGTCGGTGGCACGGTTAAGGTGGCCGCCACTCACTCCAAGCTACACTTCCGCGCGGCTTCGACGAAAGCAGACGTCGCCGCCCAATTCAATATATTTCGGGGCAATTTGACGTTCATTAAAGCGGCCCGGGGACCGTGAACCGGGCCACAATGGCTATGCCCATTTGCTGTCGTTGAAAGGCGACGTACGAGGTCAAGTCAGACGCAGTCAGTACGGCAGTTAGCCACACTTACGAAACGTAGCCGAGCCGTTGTAGCGAGTAACGGTTAAACGGCCGGCGTAAATTGCCTCGATAGGTGTTCACCCAGTCGGTGGCGAATAAGGAAAAGCGTGAGAAAAGCCGCGCGTCTGCGGAATGTTGAAATCGGGATTCACAGAACAAGGTCGCCGTTCGATATTTCTTTATCATTCGAATTCTGAGGCATTCGTAAAAGTAACGGGACATTATCGTCATTACGAAGAGTTTGTTTTCGTCATTATTACCGGAGTTTCAACTGTGTGTACGCTTAGACACTGACCTTGCTGGCTGCTCTTCCTCGTGGTCTTCTTCTCCTTCATCCAAGGGTACTCGGGCACGTTGAGCCCGCCGCCCGGCGAGGGCAGGTCGGGTCCGTAGCCGGGCGGCGTGTGCTGCGGGCTCAGCTCGCCTAGCTGCGGCAGCGCCGTCATGAACTCCGCCATGGACGGCTGGCTGTTGATGAAGCCGGTCTCGGTGCACGCGTCCAGCATCGGGTGGGGCGCGCCGGCCGCCGTGACCGCCGCCAGCCAGAACCCGTTGCCCCCATGCTCGCCGGCGCCGGCCGCCCCCATCGGCGGCGTGTTCCTCTTCGCCGCGAACTCCTCCTCCATTTCATCGCGCACCCCCATACCAGCTCTGGGCTGCTTGCCCCTGATGGGAAACTCCTCGCATTTTATCTTGCGCACCAGCGGGTTGGTGTCCAGGGGTAGGGCCGCGTTGCATATCTCTTGCATCTCCGTTTCGGCCTTGTCGCGGGTCAACGCGACGCGGTCACTTCATTCGCGCGCCGTTTTCGTCTCCCTGTTGGCGGCATTCGCTGGCATTGTCGCTCGCTGGTGGCGCTTTTTCTAATGTATGTAACGTTGTTCGGCTTCCTGCGACTTGATTACCCCACTGGATTCCGGTGCGTGGACCATGATATCTGCGAACGAGAATTATTGGTTAACGAAGCTGTTAGCACGTACATCGCGATGTCGCAATCGCGCCAAAATTTCGTCAAATCACTAGAGGCGCCGAAATTAAATATAACGGAGGCCGTCCCGTGGTTATTTCGTTATTTCGTAATTATTCGCGGACGTTCGACATTACCGCGGTTTTGCGTCGAATAATTCGCTCCCGGAGCGGTGATGAGACCGCGAATAATGAGCGCTCACAATTGTTTATTGTAATTTAGCGGCCATCATGAAGCGCTTCTCACGTAATACGGGCTCAACAATAAAGTTATTAAAATTGTCATGGACTCAACTGAATATCACAGGGACCGAGGGAATAAACGAGTGTGAAAATTAAAAAAGAATTTTAGGCTCAGAACGAAAAAAGGAAGAGGATTTCATGCGATAATTTTGCACAAAACAATTGAAATCAGATTTCAGTGACTTTTTTTGTGACATGATCTATTTTCAATTGAAATATCCAGTATTATTGGTAAATATGATTTAAAATAGTACCATTATAGACTTAGTAGTTACTATGAGCGACAGCTCAGCTCAATTATAACGGATATGAACATACTCTTAGGGTATTAGCAATTATTAAAAATAAAGTTATTATCATAATTTTCGTGACTTAATAAACTTTTTTCACCATATTCTTAAATTATAAGAATTCGATCAAGGCTCGGGGCGGCATCGGAGGCTGCTGATGTATGTGGCGCAAATATGAGTCTCTTTGATCAGATTTTGTATTGGTCTTATTTGCTGTTGAATCTTTAGGTCCGTGGGATTCCCCGTACAAGAGGGTTGGTTCTTTTCTCGCTCAAAGATTAAGCATAACTATTCAGCAAGGAAATGCAGCTAGCGTTCTTGACACCATGCCACGTGAGCTAGGTTTATTAGACAATATGTATTTTAGTTAGATTTAATTTTATAAATATTGGATATAATAATAAATTGTATTTAACTAAAAAAATATATTATAAGAAGGTTCTGACTTAGAAACTATGAATAAAAATTGTTTATTGCTTTTAGAATATATATACGTGTGGGTTTCGCAAATCGTGGGCGTGAAAACTTGCGTTCGGACCAAACCTAACCTTTCCGCCTGACTTGAATGTCAATTAAAATTCAAACCGCGTGCGAAATACGATTTTTCCACTGGCATTTGCGGCGCGCCCCGAGGTATGGCGGGATCGCGCCTTTTTGTTTTATTTTTTCTTTTTTTTTTCGGAACATGCCGGCCGGCAGTTAAACCTATTTTAATGCGTGCGGGACGCTGTGTGCTCTGCATTAAAATTTTACCGTGCGTCGCCCGCGCGGTGACGGACAATGAAACGTAATTTCCTTTCGATGAATTAATGCTGTCAGCGGCCGACGTACTCGTACGCGCTTTTGTCGTTGATACGGGCTTGTCAACACCAGTAGCAAGTTGATAATACGAATGCCGTAATGGCCCGGTGGCTGTGTTTTAATGTACACCGTTTAGAAATATTTTTTAAGTTCGAAAACAACATAGATTGTTGTCCATTTTATTCATACTGTCTATGTCATCTTTTTAGTACATTTCTCTGCGGATATTCAACTCCAATGACTTTTTAAACATGGCTATATAATGTACATGCAGCAAAGATTAGTATTAAACGTATGTCGAATGTTTTAAATAATTAATCTAGAATATTTTAAATTTATACACATAAAAATACAAAAGTGTGCATCAAACCCTAAATCCTTACTTACTTACTTAAATATACAAGAGCGATAATGTAATGTATATATATATTTTAGTAAGTTTAGTTAGGATAATAAAAATAAAGCAGAAAGTTTGTAAAAGTACATTTCATGTTGCCGTTAGTCCGACATACGCTGATGTTGAACATACGGCGTCTGATAATTCAGAATTTTTCAGAACGTACGACTCTTTCCCTCTTGTTTCTTGGGGTGTCGCTGGTTTTACGGTGCGTTTCACATTTACCGGTTATCCCTTGAGGGGGGCCCGCTTTAAAAACGCATAAAGTCGAGAGTGTAGAATGCTTATGAATTTGTTTACGGCGCTATTCCGAAGTAACGACGTTACAGCAAAAGCTCGGAGCTCGCGAATAACAGTTTTCCTAATTTAATGTCATTGAATTTTTATGGATACGGTGTGCTTATTCGAGATTCGTAAAATAATCCGTATATTGGAAGTCAAAAGGTATAAGATTTTAAGACATTCTACTATCCATTGCACAGATGTTGTAGTGGTGAACTATTTATGTAAGTAACGGCAGTTGGTGTGGTGACCACATTAACTACCATTCCTCGCTGTTTTGTTGCTTCGATTCCCATACGAGATCAAAGCTCCATAAATAGTTCTGAGTTTATATGTTTGTGACAATTCGACAGCGAATCAATTGCAATTTCAGAAAAAAAATAAAATGAAGTTTAAATCATTTATAATATACTGATCATTAACATTCATGTTTTATTTTAAAGTCCAAGTGGCTGCTTAGTATTTTATTATAAGGAAATTAGAAAAACTATTATTCCTGCTTCTTTAGATTTTCTCGACGGAAGTTAAATACATTAAGACATAATTAAACCAGAACGATGCTGTAAAAAACATAATGCTTACCGCGGCATAATTAATATTTCCTCTTGTAGAAGAGGGGTGGAAATGGTTTTTAATGATAGAAACAAAAGCAACCGTTTTCGGCAAAATAGTTTTTTTGCGTTTGACTAATGTTTTTCGATCTTCTTATATACAATTAGATATTATCGACATGGTCATCTCAGCGGTAAGACTAACTAACTTCACATCAAAATATACTTATAAGCAAAAAACTTGCAAGGTCCCATGACTGCTCAACGGGGTTTGAGGCGTGCTTGCCGCTCCGTTTGTGTGATACTGACTTCTTGAAAATAGGCAAACACTATTTGAGCTGTATGCGGGCGGACATTTTCTTGCATAAAAACGGCATTCTCGCCCATGTCCACTAAAAATGGACCAACGTAGTACATTCAGAATTTGAGTGACATATCTTTCTGTAGTTAGAGTTCCATTTCTTATTACCACTAGCTCACTGCGGCTTTCAGAAATCCCAGTCCACACGTGAACAGAGCCTCCGCCGTATGGTACTTTTTCTTCTATACAGGCTTGGTTATAGCGCTCTCCTGGTCGTTTGTACACTCTTTTCCTTCCGTCGTGCTTGTATAAACTGAATCTAGACTCGTCTTAAAACATAAACATCTTGACCAGTGATTCGGAGTCCAATCGTGTTCCATACCATAACTTTAAATTTGCTTCAGCCAGACACAACCTTACTGTATCCGTACTCAGATTGCTTCCTCCAGCTCGTAAATGATGATTCTTTACTTCAACACCGTAAGAAAGCGATTTCTCAAAATTGTTGACAACGTATGACGATCCTTAAAACATGTTTTTTAAAACTTTTCTATATGTTTTAATGTTCAATCTTAAGTGCAGAGATTAGAACTATAAAAAAAAAAACTTTAAAATTTATAAAAAGCAATGGCGACATCTCTCGTTCGAATTATCGTTGTGAAATGATATTCAAAATTGTTTGTATGCTGGAAAGAAAAACAAACGCGCAATATGTTAAATAATGTTGAACGAGATATGTTAAGCAATTTTGTCATGTTTTTAGTACTCATAAAGCTCATAATCTACTAGTGGCTCACGAAGACCGATAAAGGGAAGAACGAACGAGGAAATGCGATGTAATTAGGGCACGCAGCAACTGTTTTCTCGCCCAGGGAAGCACTACGGCTTCACAGAAGACCAGCGTGATATGGAAATCTGGTGAGGGAGGTAGCCGGGGCCCACTTTATTAATATTAGCAACGCCTATACAACCCGTCAGGTGTTGCAAATGTACACGGTTGGCGGTCATCACTTATCATCAGGTACCGGCTGCTCGATAGCGAACTTTTCACACAAAAAACACATAGGGTACATTTTCATTCGTCGGCATGCGCGAGGACGTAGCAGGGCGTCTACGTGCCGGGAGTGGGCAGCGGCTGACCGGTGGTTAGGGCCCAATTTGCCCGCTTTAACGATTTCCTCTTCGGGGAATTGAATTGCGTGAGCGCGGCTGCCCACAGCAGCGCGCACACAGACATCGGCTATGTACGTGTACAAGTACATAACTATGTTTGTACAGTGTATGTGTGCGTGGAATACAATGAAAGTATACAAGTATGTTACTATGTTTTTACAGTTTATGTGTGCGTGTTCGTGTATAGAGGTGTGTTATGAAATGTGTACATGTGTAACTAATTCGCCACGACCTACGCGGTGTAAGTTGTTGGGTTGTGGTATTGTCAGTTATCGTTTTAACATTTTTGGGGAATTATCTTCTTTCACATACGTTTATAAAACATATAAAAAATATCATTTTAAATAAAATACTATTACTACACGGGTACATCAATAATTGAAACGTCGGTTATTTATATTAAAATTTAACGGAAAATAAACAATAATTAAATTATTTTTTTTTTCATCTGTGGTAGGCCACTGTTGCACGAACGGGCAGCGTTTAACGTTTGGCATTATCTAAATTCTTTTGTTTTGATTAACGTAATTTCCATTATATGCAGCGACTAAAGAGTCGACTAAAAAGTTAAACAAGCACCCAAAATCGTCCGCAACAAAAGCGGAGGCTATTGGTTACTTATTTGTTTACTATAGCGAGTTTTTTTAATACTTTTAAAAAGCATGTGATGGTAAAATTTTATATTTTCATATATTTTGTATTATTACAAGTATGTAATGACACAAAATATAGTACGATAAATAAC